CGACATTTCCCAAACTAAAAGTCAATCCCAAAAAATGCCCTTTCACTCCCCAACCTCCTCACATCCGTTCTCCCTCTCACCCCCTTGTGCCCCAGCCACAATGGACCCCTTGCTGTTCCCTAACAAGCCAAGTGTGCTCCTGCCCCAGGGCCTTTGCACTTGCTGTTACTGCTGGGAAGAACACCCTTCTCTGTCACACCTACATAGTTCGTTCTTCCTCCAGCGCTTTAACATCTCTTCCTCAGCAAGCTTTTCAAAGTAGAGCCCTATGTAAAATTTACTATACCTTAATGTTTTCTAACCCACTTCCTTATCTTTTATTATCTAATAAACTGTAGTCAACAAACAAACCAGGGGGCCGGCCCCTTAGCTCAGTTCTTCCACAAGTCAAGCCAGCCAAACCTGCCCTGAAGGCATTCAGAGAAAAAAAAAAAAAATGCCAAAGAGTGTATGCACCTGTATTTGGTTTTTTAGTACACATTTATTTAGTGCTTACTCCCAAACTCTGCATTTATCCAACCCAGACACTAACAGAGATGATCATTTGAACGAATGAGAGTGATCTGAAACACTAACGGCCCTTCATTCAACACCTCCCCACAGTGTTCTGGGGCATCTTGCCTAAATTTCCCAGAGACAGATACCTCACTACCAGCTCTTATACCCTCAGATTGTAACATTCTGCTTAAGATTGAAAGCATTTAAACATAAAGCTTATTGTGTATGTGGTTTCTCTTCCTTGAAAATGCAGAACTAACTAGCAGGTGCGCACCTGGCCCGGTGCTCAGCAGCACACCAGATGCGTCACAGGCCGGGGATTACTGGGCCTTAGTTAGCAGAGCTTACAGAAGCCAACAGGACCAGGGGAACACAGCTCAGCTGAACACATCTGAGAGACACATTGTGGCCTAAAAGCAGCCACAGTTTGGTGTGATCCAGCAGGAATGGAAAGCTCAAAAAGGAATGATCTTCAAAAGAAAGCTAATCAGTATAGATTACTGACTGCAAGGCAGCCCGAGGTGTTAGATAACCAAGATTGTGGCACATCATACATTGCAAGATAACCAGCTGAACAGAATAAGTGTCAAATGAAGCTAAGCAGTAACAGAGTAGATTGTGTTTGTAAATACTGACAAAATCAGCTGAAAGCAACAACAGCAGACAAGCTGGCTTTTTTGCTGGCCTTTTGCAGGGAGACAAAAAGATAATTTACAACCCCAATACTTGGGTGGCAGCAGACAGCCTGAAAGTGAACCCACATCACAATAAAAAGTGAAATGACTTGCTAGCATTAAAAGAACACATTCAAAAGTGATCCCCTCTTCTGTTGGCCCTTACACACTCTCAATTAAGTACATTATAGAAAAGGTAATATAAAAATCATCACAACTCCCAGGCTAGCTTCCAGCGCTAACTCAATCAAAAAACATTTCTTGAGGGCCCATTAGGAGCCAAACACTACACTCTGCGTTGGGACACAGTGGTAGAAAAGATAAGGCCCAGTCCTGGTGAGGGCCTACTGAACGCAGGCACATTATCAATCACTAAACAAAGCCCAAATGATTACAGGTGCGCTGGGACAGACGCCTGTGAGGGGACAAAACTAGAGCTGCCTGAGAGCAATAGGAAGGCGTGCTCCATGTGGGGCGGCTGCAAGGCTGAGCCAGCCACCCGGGTGCCAAAAGCTGAAGAAAGAGGAGAAGGAGTTTCCAAGTGAGCATATTCCAGAAAGAGGAAAGAAGAGTTCAGGGCCCCAGGTAGGGGTAAGGAAAGGCCAGGAGTCCAAGAGGGAGCAGGACACAATGAGGGCCTGCAGGGCTGCTAGGGAAGCTGAGACCGGGCAGGGGCCAGGGCCAGGGACTTGTTTGTGGCAGGCGCTTAAAGAGGAGAGTGGCATGATCTGATCTGCAATTGTAAAAGCCAATCTCTCTGGCTCCTGTGTGCAGAACTGCCTGGGAGCAACCCAGGGGAGAAGGGGAGGGGAGCCCAGGAAGGAGGCAACAAAGGCCAGGACCAGAGGGGGTCAGCAAACACCACCTACAACATCCTGGAAGTAGGACCCACAGGACAAACAGGAAGCCTGGATGTGAGAAGCAGGTAAAGGGCACCAAGGATGACTCAGCAATCGAGTGCACAGTGGGAAGGGGATATAGGCAATGGGAGAAGTGCCAGGAACGTCAGAGACAGGAGCCCTGAGAAAGGCCATACTGGAATTAAAACATGAGAGTCACCAGCAGACAGGCAGTGTCTAAGGGGGCTACCTTGGGGATGGGATCACATTACCCAGAGAGACTGTGGACAGAGAAGGGGGACCAGGCGCAGGCCCTACACAACTCTCCCATGTGTAGTCAGACCAAAGAGCAACAGAGGAGTTTCAGCACAGAGGCAGAGGGTAGAGGCAAATAAACAGAGAAAGAAAGTGGACACTGTGGGCTTGGGCACACATTTTGACAAGTCTTGAGAAGAAGAACACAGAAGTGGCAGGAAGCAGAGGAGGGATGGAACACGGAGAGCCTAAAACCCTACTGTCCAATATGGCAGCCACTTGGGGCTATTAAACTTTAATGAAATTAAAAACCCAGACCTCAGTCACTCCAGCCACATTTCAAGCACCCAGCAGCCTCATGTGGCTGGTGACTGCTACCCGGGACCATAGAGATGCAGAATGCATGCAACACCACAGAAAGTTCTGTTCAACAATGCTGAACTGGAGCATGCTCCTAGATCAATGGAAAAGAGCTGGGAAAAGACCAGGGTGAGGAAGCAAGTTAGGAAGGAAAGGTAACCTTTGAGAAGGTAAGGAAGGGGATGGGTAGAAGCCACACCAGGAGTGGGCCTCTGCGAGGACAGCAGAGGACTGGCCCCTCTGCACACAGACAGGAAGAGGATGGTAAGGACAGCTACACCATGGATGATAAAGATGTCCCCAGCCATCCTGTCAACAGAAAGAAAGGCAAGGGGGAGGGAAGTTCAGACAGACCAAGCTCTGAAAAGGGAGCAAGTCCACCGCAGCTTAGAGCGCAACAGCACACACTGGAGAGCCCAGACACTTAACAAACCCTTCACTGAAGAGAAGTAGGAATGAGTATCTGAAGAAGGGAAAGCATCCTCAATGGGAGTAGTAAGCTCAGACGGTTTAGTTTTATCCTTAAATCCTGGCCCTGTCTGCAGGGCAGAGCCATGCCAAAGCTGTAGGACCACAGCAAGGCTTGCGCTGGCTGCCCTTCCCTGGTTCCCCTCCATCCTACACAACTTTCAGAAAGGATGACACTGGTTCTATTTTTGGTTAAAATGGCTCCCTCCACCTCCTCTGTCTAAACTGCTTATCCAGCCCTGAGCTCATCTCAACTTACAACCATGTTTTGTACATTCACATAAATTATAGAAATAGTTATATCACAAATGGCAGAGCTTGGGAGGACTTACAAACTAGCCCTTCCTCACAAGTAACATATATTTATCTGGGGATATTAGAATGACACGAAAGACCCGTTCTGTGCTTAAATCCCCCAAGTACTCCTCCTTTCTGCCTTCACCAACAAAAAATTATTTTCTGACATTTTCTTTAAGCTTTTTATGCATAAACATTTTCATTTTTACAAAACTATTTGATCTCAGAGTTTGAGATCAAATATTTGCTTTTGATCACACAAGTGTGCCAGGGTGCAGGACAGCAAGTTAAAATTGCCAGATCTTTTTTATCTTCCATTGCAAGACCTACATTTGTTAACTCCTTCTTCCAGAACATTTTTTTTTTTAGTATGAAATCTGAGAACCTCAAAGGTTCCAGCTGTTCAAAGATCAGCTCTTCGGAGTTCACTGAGGGACTGCCTGAAATGTTACAGAAAAAGCTGCCTCAATGCTAGGAGCCTCTGGGACAGTCAACCGGCAGTTACTGGCAGGCGTGAACGCCTCGGAGGTGGCACCAACGCTAGCAAACTTCTCCCTGCGTTCTGTCCCTAACGCCTGCTTCTGACTTCCCTCATCTCCTCAGGCTCCCTGGGCAAAATGACTCCAGATACTTACTCGGCTAAAGCATACAGAAGTTGCTGACCCCACCAGGACAATCGCGCCCCTTTCCACAACACCCTAGTCTGCCTTGTGCCACCGATCCCAGAGAGAAAAGTGGAAGTTCTCCAACCACCAAGCAAAAGTCTCTGGGTCCTGGTGACTGGCTGAAGAAACGAGCGGCAGGGGCCACCGAGATTCAAGACTCCAGTTCACTCACCATCCATTCATCCCCTCTGCCCAAGACCACGCACTAAATGTCCCCCTCCTCCAAATGCTCATCAGCTATCAGTACAACCTGGACGTCGTCACCAAACTTGTCTGTGCTACAGTTTCCTCACCTGTTAAATGGGCGCAATAAGCATTCCGCGAAAACACAGCCGCCAACCACCACACACACACACACACACACACACACACACACACACACACACACTGCTTGCTGCTCGCACCCCGGAGCAGATGTGAGGACTGTCTATTAGCACAGTGGCTCCTTGACTCATAGCGCCTACCGCTCAGAGATCACCCTGCTCTGTAAATTACTTTATACACTCAAAGGCATTAGTCACTTAGTGAGTATTTCAACTTCCCCTCTTGAGCATCCACCGGGCCGTCTGAGACCAAAGCCTTGGAGGTGCCCACGGACCTCACCGTCCTCGGCCACTGTGCCTGCGCCGCAGGGACACCGTGCTCTGGCGTGTTCCCTTTCCAGGAAAACTTCGATTTCCATTCTGCCTGCAATCAATCCAGCCGCTGAGAGCGAACAACTGCTTTCCACGCTCGCAAACGCAGGCCCGGAGTTGGCCGCGCCGGGCGCGGGGACCGCGGAAGGGCCGAGGCCGGGCGAGCTCGGGTCCCTGGCTGTCCCCGCGCCCGGCCGGCCGCTAGGAGAGAGGTTGCCCTGCGGGGCGCGGGCGTACCCCGCTTCGTGAGACCAGGGGCGCGCTTTCCCGGGCCGCCCGGCTTCGAGCCCGCGGAGCGGGGACACTCACCCCATCTCCGGGCTTCTCTGGCGGCCGCTCCCACGGGGCCCCCGGCGCTCGCTCTCCGCCCGCTCGGCAGCCGCTCCCCGCGAGGTGCATGCGGCGGCCGAGAGAGCCCGGCTCAGCCCAGGCGCCGCCGCTGCCTCCCGCGGGCGGGCAGGCGGGAGGAGGGGGCTGGGCCGGCGG